CAAAACGTAATTCCCACGGTGATTTGTTTCCCCCCGTTGCGATGACGTTCTGCATGAAGCACCAGTGACGGGCAGCATGTGGCCAGTGCCAATGGTTCAAACCTGCTTGGAGCAAATTGACACGGGTACCTTCCAGGACTGACCGGACTGCTCTCTCGGCTTGGGCATTGGACTTGGAAATGTAGTCTCTACTTAACACGTGACGGTACTGGAGGATCTTCATCGCTGATATCAACTCCGGTGCATTGTCACTATAGAAGACTCCGATTTCTTCATTATGTCCAACAAAATGCTTTATGGCCAAAATAGCAGCATTGGTGGTTCTTCTGGCATTGGGGTAGACATAAATAAAACCAGTGGCTATGTCCTTCACCACGAGTGCACTTTTCTCATCGTCGATTCCCAGTTCATCTTCATCTCTGGTAACAATGAAATCAGCAGTAACATGATCACCAAATTTCTCAGCTTTGACTTTAGTTGATCCGCCCACAGCTCTTGAGGGTGGCTTAAACATCTTGGCCCTAGTGCATATGTCACAGTACGGGTTCTTTGGTATGTGAGTCAGCATATATTGGATGGATTTTGCTTCTTCTCTCAATGCTTTCTCACCCAATGATCTCTTGAAACCGTCATCATCCTGAACACTGCTACTAGATCCCTTAGAGCGGTTATCCACAGGCGGCTCAACCTCCCGGTCGGCATCAGGTACTTCAACCTCCTCAACCTCCAAAGGCTGGGGCTCCGGGAGATCTACATTTATGCCCATGGGGTCATCACCGATGATCTCTATTTCCCCGTCGGGCTCCGGAGACTGTTGAGCTTCTTCTGATGCCGGGGTTGCTATACTTGGTCTAGGCTGAATAGACGGAGTGGAAATCGTGTTCGAATTGTTTGCAAAGTAGGGTACGTAATGTCTGACAACTAACTCAATGCGTTCCCCATTTGGTTTGACCATGTATGGAGGTTCACCTTTGGATCCTTTCCAAATGAAGTCGTACCCATCATCGATACATCTCATCCCAACTGAAATCACAGGAGGAGAGCTTCTCACAAGATATGGGTCAATGGTTTTGCCTAACTTTGGAACATATACTTTGCCCTGTTTCGATGATGAACTTTCACCATTGGCGGTGATCATACGAATGGGACTGTTGGAGTTGTATCCATAATCATCAGGCAGTTCACTATCATTGACCAGGTCTTGGGCACTCCCTGTATCTGCAATCCAATCGAGGTTGAGATTGATCGCCCCTTTCACGTCTTCTCTACATTCCGCCGGGGTGGCTTTGATTCCCTTAGGGATACATTCGTTGCAGCCAAAATCAGTGTCACATAAATAGGCACATTTGCATTCAACAGCCTGAAGACAGTTGGAAACAGATCCAGCTAGCATAGTACCGGTCAAAGCGGCATCACTAACAGCGAGCTGATCAACTTCAAATTGATGTCCCATGACCCCATGGAAAGGTTACCTTATCCTTGGTGACTGCGTTTCCAATTGGCCTCAAGTTCCCTCGGGCTTTAACAAGAGACACGTCCGGTGAATCATCAAAACGAATCGATGGACAAACGACTCTTGATTGAGGGATACAAAATGCCTGAGACACGGATGCAAGCATGGATGCAACTAGGCAAACGGCAGCAGGCGATGGCTTGGATGAGCTGTTCCCGGATCCTTTAGACTTTGGGGATTTCGGGCTCTTAGAGCGGCTAGAGCTTCGGGATCCCTTCCTTTTTGGGTTCTTGGTATGCTTCTTTTTATTTTTGTTTTCGCCACTAGCCGAACGGGCTGGTGTGGCTTGTCTCGGCTTACCAACAGATCCCTCATGAAGGAATTTACACTCAGCTCCCCTATCACATCGACCTTGCTTCCAAAACTTGCAAATTTTCTTGCCTTTCCCCTTTGGTTTGGGAGACCCTGAACGATCAGTGGAACGACCTCTGGTGTTACTGGGTTTTCGACTTCTGTCACGTGGCTTGGGGGTTTCATGCTTGTAAGTACAGTTGTCTTTGCTACAGCCCCCTTTGTTCCATGCCACACAATATCCCTTGGGGATGAATCCTGTCTTGCCCTCGACTGCTGGAGCGGAGGGACGACCGGAACCTGAAAGACCTTTGGCAACTCGATCACGATTTGCCTCCAACCTCTAAAGGTCAAGGTGGCGTCGCACGGCAGAAACAAGGAAACCATAGTTTCGTTTCTCGGTTCCTTCATCAGCTCTGTGATACTCATTCATATCATGTTGGATAGCCTTGCAATTCTTCACTTGTTTGTAGAAGAGCGTTTCCAACACACTTTCATCCGGAGTTTGAACAATACCAGCCAACACTTGATCCCAATTCGAAATGAATGACTTCAAGTTCTCCCCTCGCAACTGGACACTGAACAAATCTTGAAGGGCATAGGTTGCTCCGTGCTTGATGTTGGTACTGAAATGATCGTGCAACATGAACAACATTTGTCTTCCCCGTACAATTCGTCCAGCAGTGGCTTCGGTTTCTTTGAAGGTATCTACCTTACGGGCGAAGTCACCAGAAATGATGTTCGTGAGTGCAGAAAGTAGCTTTGCATCAAGTGTCGCAAACGGCGCAACCTTCCGGAGCGCTTCAAGAGTCTGGTCTTCTTTCCAAGAATCACTGACCCATTTGAAGGCACTGTCGGAATCTGTGGATGCTGCTACAACTGCTTCTCTAGTCTTGATTCTCCAATTACGATAGGTTTCCGCCAATGGGAATGCTGGGATCTTAATATAGTGTCAGCCTCCTTGACTTTGGGTTTGTCGTCATGCCTTTGATCAACATAACCACCAAGAAACTTGATCATTCTGCGCCTAAATTTCTCATCATCATCATCGTCTTCAGGGCTGTCACCGTCGTCATCACCGCCATCAGGAGGGTTAGGATCACCCTTATTCTTTCTGGGTACCTTACGGTTCTTATCCCCATCAGGCTTGTCATTGGGATCAGGTGGTGACGGAGGTCCACCTCCCCCGTTCCCTCCGTTGTCATCTCCTCCGTCCCCAGGATCGTCTCCGTCAGGCTCATCTTCATCTCCCGGTTCGAAGTAGTCCATGTCATCAGGACCTAGTTCGGTAGGGGAGTGCCGAATGGTCGGAGCAGGTGAGTTGATCTTACCCTTAGAAGGATCATCACGGCGACGAGTTGTGGCCTCCCCTCCCGAAGGGCGTTCATCCATGGACGATCTTGCAATGTCCGATTCTTTCTTCACTTGAATTGGGATTCGATATGATGGATCATGATAAACAATCTCAATGCCATCCTTTTCAAACGTCTCTCCATCAGGTGAAGTAAAAGTCATCGGTGTTCTTGGGTTCGGTGGTCTGGCAACATTCGGTGGAGGAGCTGCGGGCGCAGCTTTGCGGGTCGGTGCAACATATTCAAAATTCGGAAGATTAGATGACGTGAGAGTATCGGCTGTGACTGTCATGGCGGCACTTTCAACAATTGGGCTCGGACGAACTTGGGCAAACTGGGAATCAAGCATACTTTGCAGTTTCAGATTATGTTGCATCTGGGTTTGCACCATTTGTTCAAGTTGGGTGATGCGTTCGTTCTGAATCCTTCTTTCTTCCTCAGCTTGCTTTCTCAACTCAAGGATTTCTTGTTCTTTGCTGGAAAGTGATTGTCGATGATTGGCATCAATGACACGTTGGTAGGCTTGAATTTTCTCATTCATTTGAGCCTTTCGGAACCTTACATGTTCGTGCGCCTCATGCTGTAAATTCTCCCTATACTGTGCTCCCATTCTCAACACTTCTTGTTCTTTGGACATCATTGCATCTAGGGCCCTCTGACTTTCAATGCCCTCACGGACTCGCAATGCTTCCACCAATTCCTCAGTCTTTGCCGTGTGGATGGCCTCAGCATGGGCCTCGGCCTGGGCCAAAACTTCGCGGTGACGGAGTTCGGCCGTTGTTTCCACAAGGCTTGTCATGGCAGGCTCGTGGGAATGAAGATGAACACTCTGCTCGACAAAGTTTACTTGAGGATTATCAACATGCACATTGTGTTGGTAAGTATTGTGAACATTCGTTTGGTTCAACTGGCGAGTCGGTGGCCCACCCTCCCGAGCGGCTTGGGGGACAAAACCACGGTGATTGAAACCCACATGAGAAGGCACAACTGCGTTACTCAACTGTGGTAAGTGGCGTCTCTCCCTCAAGCTTCGTGACTTATCGGATCCAGGTGGGGTGCTGATATCTACTGAGAAAGGTGAGTTGCTGATAGGTAATGTCCCCGGATTCGCCATGGCTGCGTCAGAGGCTGAGCGGTGACCGGTGCCCTCGGTGGAAGAACCCGGGGAGGCAGACATTCCTACAAAGGAAGAAGTTAGGCTTACGGCTGATAACCTGTTTGACAGGTTAACTAGCCACAAACTACCAGCTAGCACACACTGTTTTCTTGAGCCATAAGCAACCGATAGGAAGGGTGAAAAGTTATGTATATACAGTAAGACCTATTAAAAATAGTTTCTATCTGAACCATTGCCGACTCTTTCGCCATCAAAGCCCTCTGCTTCCAACATCATCAAATAGAAATCAATGCACTTTGGAGTTTTCAAGGCATTTGCCATGACTTGCTTTGGAAGCCAAATGAACGCGACTTTGGAAATGTTTGGCCAAAAACATATCTGCTCAGCGCTGGCAACTCTGAAATTCCGAGGGTCTCTGACATCTCAGGAGTGGCAAAATATGTCGCAAGCAGCGGACACAAAACATGGAAACATGTGCCACAGGTGGGTCCCAGACCCAAAGCATTTTATTCCAAGTCTTCCAAAAAATATGATTCCTTCAACTCACCGTATCCCCTGACATAATTTCTTACGGGACGGGGCATCCAAAAACATCCTAAGAGTATTGCTGCAAATATTGCTGCACCTGTCATGAGGAACCTAATTAGCCAACGAAAGTCCAATAAGGTGTGACTCCAGATCCACTGCCCAAAGCCCCTTTGAAATCTTTGAAGCTGGGCTCCCGGGCTCTTCTCTAGAGCCTTGCGGAAAAGAGGCTCGGCCTCCGCCAGGTGCCCCTGGGCGTAGAGGAGTAGAGCCAAATTGTTGAGGCTGGTCAAAGTATCTGGGTGGTCTTCGCCCAGTTTGGCCGTACCTCGGCACGGCAACATGGGCGGATTGCACAGGTTGCATCTGCGCACAAAAGGCGCAACTGGAAATCAACAATGGCCATTAAGCGAATTGAATCCAAAACCACAAGTGATTTTGGTTTCTATCTGAACCATTGCCGACTCTTTCGCCATCAAAGCCCTCTGCTTCCAACATCATCAAATAGAAATCAATGCACTTTGGAGTTTTCAAGGCATTTGCCATGACTTGCTTTGGAAGCCAAATGAACGCAACTTTGGAAACTTTTCGCCAAAAAATGCTACAGACATCCCAAGAGTATTGCTGCACAAATTCCTGTCATAAGGAACCTAATTACCCAACGAAAATCCAATAAGGTGTGACTCCAGGTCCACTGCCCAAAGTCCCTTTGAAATCTTTGAAGCTGAGCTCCCGGGCTCTTCTCTAGAGCCTCGCGGTAAAGAGGCTCGGCCTCCACCAGGCGCCCCTGGTCTTGGAGGAGTAGAGCCAAATTGTTGAGGCTGTTGAGGCTGAGCAAAGTATCTGGGTGGTCTTCGCCTAGTTTGGCCTTACCTCGGCAGGGCAACACGGGCGGATTGCACAGATTGCATCTGCGCACAAAAGGCGCAACTGGAAATCAACAATGGCCATTAAGCGAATTGAATCGCAAACCACAAGTGATTTTGGTTTCTATCTGAACCATTGCTGACTCTTTTGCCATCAAAGCCCTCTGCTTCCAACATCATCAAATAGAAATCAATGCACTTTGGAGTTTTCAAGGCATTTGCCAACTTGCTTTGGAAGCCAGATGAACGCGACTTTGGAAATGTTTGGCCAAAAACATATCTGCTCAGCGCTGGCAACTCTGAAATTCCGAGGGTCTCTGACATCTCAGGAGTGGCAAAATATGTCGCAAGCAGCGGACACAAAACATGGAAACATGTGCCACAGGTGGGTCCCAGACCCAAAGCATTTTATTCCAAGTCTTCCAAAAAATATGATTCCTTCAACTCACCGTATCCCCAGACATAATTTCTTACGGGACGGGGCATCCAAAAACATCCTAAGAGTATTGCTGCAAATATTGCTGCACCTGTCATGAGGAACCTAATTAGCCAACGAAAGTCCAATAAGGTGTGACTCCAGATCCACTGCCAAAAGTCGCTTTGAAATCCTTGAAGCTGGGCTCCCGGGCTCTTCTCTAGAGCCTTGCGGAAAAGAGGCTCGGCCTCCGCCAGGTGCCCCTGGGCGTAGAGGAGTAGAGCCAAATTGTTGATGCTGTTCAAAGTATCTGGGTGGTCTTCGCCCAGTTTGGCCTGCCCTGGGCACGGCAACACAGGCGGATTGCACAGATTGCATCTGCGCACAAAAGGCGCAACTGGAAATCAACAATGGCCATTAAGCGAATTGAATCCAAAACCACAAGTGATTTTGGTTTCTATCTGAACCATTGCCGACTCTTTCGCCATCAAAGCCCTCTGCTTCCAACATCATCAAATAGAAATCAATGCACTTTGGAGTTTTCAAGGCATTTGCCATGACTTGCTTTGGAAGCCAAATGAACGCAACTTTGGAAACTTTTCGCCAAAAAATGCTACAGACATCCCAAGAGTATTGCTGCACCAGTTCCTGTCATAAGGAACCTAATTACCCAACGAAAATCCAATAAGGTGTGACTCCAGATCCACTGCCCAAAGTCCCTTTGAAATCTTTGAAGCTGAGCTCCCGGGCTCTTCTCTAGGGCCTCGCGGTAAAGAGGCTCGGCCTCCACCAGGCGCCCCTGGGCTTGGAGGACCATCGCGAGATTGTTGAGGCTGGGCAAAGTATCTAGGTGGTCTTCGCCCAGTTTGACCTGCCCTCGGCACGGCAACACGGGCGGATTGCACAGATTGCATCTGCGCACAAAAGGTGCAACTGGAAACCAACAATGGCAATTAAGCGAATTGAATCGCAAACAACAAGTGATTTTGGTTTCTATCTGAACCATTGCTGACTCTTTCGCCATCAAAGCCCTCTGCTTCCAACATCATCAAATAGAAATCAATGCACTTTGGAGTTTTCAAGGCATTTGCCATGACGTGCTTTGGAAATCAAATGAACACGACTTTGATACAAATTTGGTTTGCTTTGTGGCAAAAGCATCCCAGAAGTAATACTGCACAAGTTCCCTTGACGCAAAACCAAAGCGATGACCGTAGCTCCTTGGGAAGCTGAGATCCAGGCGGATTCGCAGGCACTCTCTGTCCAATTTTTCCGCTTCTCCATACCGGGCGCGGCCGTAAAGCCTCCGGGCCAGCTCGAACATGCAGTCTGCCATCAACACGTCCTCGCCCGCGCTGGCGCGAAGCTTCCGCAGCCGAAGCTGCAGAAGGTCCAGGACGGAATCCGGCCGCTGCATGCTGCACTTTCCCATCCTCGGCGCCGCACAAAGGCCACAGACGTGAACCGTCAAGTGCAACTAGTGGGGAGGCCCGGTGGGGCGCATGGATTATCAGATTCTCACATCTGCCAGGAGGTCAGGGACAAATTCTGTACCTAGTCTTGACTATGTCATGTATAGATGACCTCGCGTCACAACCTGTATCAACTCTGCCAAAAGTCTGTTTCCACTCTGATGACCCAAACGTCTCGGTTGCGGTGTACAGGTCGGCCCAGGTAGTCTTCGCCTGGCATGCACATGCAGAACCGATTCATCGGACAAAAGTGTCAAAAGGAAAAGCTCACCCCGAGCTTCGAGCCTAGTTTGATGGGGCGCTCCTGGCCAGCTGAATCTTTCACCGTCTTCTCTGCCATGTCTGGCCTCAAGCACGTACACATCCGATCAAAGGCGTCTTGCTCCAACTGATTTAAGTTACATGACGCTCCACAGGCAAACAAATCCTTCCAAACTTGCGCGTGGTCACTCTGAAACATCAGTTTTCACATATCTTATCGGCAGCCCTGGCACGTGTGTCTTTCGAAGATGTTGTAGGCAATGGAGCGCGGCACAATCAGCGGAATGCAGAAAGCCGCTCGATGGCCAGACTTTCTGCCGTTGCCCCACTCCGCATCCCTTTTTCGAGCCTCTTCCGGGGTCGGGCCTCGGAATGCTTCAACCGCTGAGTTGCTACAGAAACTGATGGCACTGGCCGCTTGCAACTCTAAGTTTGGGACTGAAGGGGTCTCCGTTCGAGTAGTTGTTCAGCAGGATCCGAAGACGTGAGGCCCACACCTGCACAATTCAGACCTCTTGGAACAAAACCGTCAACAACTCCACAATTCAACACGGCTTCGTTTCACATCGTTTCAGCCGAGCATCGGCAGGCTCGTGCTGCGTGGCATACAAGCCCTTGCCAAAGTGAGCGCGCTCGTCCACCAGGGACGCAAAGAGCTGCGCGGCCGTCTGCTCCAAGTTTCCGACGTTGTGGAAGGCCAGTTCGTCGGTGTAGTGGTACAAAGTGACCACTTCTTCGCCTGTTCTTCACACGCAGATGCACATGACAAAGGGTTGGATCCATGCAAGGGCCTCTTTTCATTTCACAAGTGCTGCAGTTCTGCTTGCCTTGCTTCCCGAAGGCCCGTAGGTCGAAGGCATGCTGCCAAACCATCACATCTCCATCGGAAGCTTCGTATTTGTAGGTCAAAAGTTCCCCTACATTGCTGTTGGAATAGCCGCTGCCATCGTAGAGCTCGCCGGCCAAATACCTGGAAGCGAAGTTGTTGTCCATTCAGTCGAACCAAACACAGTCTGCGGCACCTCTTGGCGAAGTAGTCCGAGATCTCTGCACACTGCGTGTTCAAGTGCTCCTGCGAGTAACATCGACTGACTGGCAGACAAGCTGCAAAACAAACATATTTTGGGGTTTGGAGTTTTCCCCTCTGCTGGCCCCAGGCAAGACAGCACCCAGAAGTCCGAACTCGTTTCCATTGTGAAATGAACATTATTCACTTGAAACAACTTGTATGTCTCATCGCAAAATATCAATTTCTAATTCGCCATCAGTGCTTCATTGCTTTTGTCCAGTCGCATTTGGGGGTGTCACCCGCGTGACTGCCATGTCTTTTTCAGAACCAAAGGAAAACCAGTTTGGTGCCCGGAAAATGACAAGACGTGTTCTAGAGAGTTCGCATGCTTGCTTCGTGCAAACACACAGGCTAAAAGGCAGTGCTGAGATGAATTAAGTTCTCCCACTTAGAACTGATCAAAAGAACATGAACCATATTTACTTCCAATTGTACAGTGAAAAAGTACATCTATATTCCGAAGAACATGAGATTGAACCAACCTCTCCAACGTCCGAATTCCCCAAATTCATCCAATTCATCCCAAAACAGTGAACAAAAACAACCCAGGGTCAACATGCAGATTTTTTTGCACCCTTAAGACTTCGGAAGTGTGGATCAAGAAGCCTTCATGGCAACAATTCTTGGACCCAAGATCTTTAGGAAATTTCTGGCCCAAAGTAGATCAGGGCCTTACGTTTGATGTTTGATATTCTGCAACTCGCTACATGAAAAACTTAATGGGCTCAAAATGGTGTTGGTTAAGGGGAAATGTGTTTAACCTTTTCGTTTCTAGGACATGTCTTCCGTGATCAAGTGAGTTTCCATGTTATTTTCTTTGTCAAACATGACAACTCCCTATAGGACTCACCTGCAAAGAGAGAATGCAATCTCCAATGACCCGATTTGAAAGGGAAATGGAACTGGAGATATTTGTTTGGCAATTTGCAAGTTTTTGCGAAACCAGCATGCACTCAACATGTCATTTTGTGCGTAAACATAGACAAACAAATCATTCAACTTGACTGCCTTGATCCAAAAGCCAACATCTTCTTAAACAAATTCTTCACTTTGGCAAACAAAGGGGACGGCCTCTGTCCCGCCGTAATCCTCGGCTAGCTCTTCTGGAACTCGTGATGAGCCCTCCTTGGTAAAGCAGTCTCTTCGAATACAGGTGAAAAACATACTGAATGCCAAAGAGCAAACGGAACATGAAAGGACTCCAGGAACATCGTTCGCCTGGTTGTCCCGCTTTCCTTCGGTTTGCTGTATGGAGGTGCGATGTCTTCTCAGTTTTCGATCCTGTGGCGCTGTCTTGGTTCGACCCTGGCATACATGACATGCCTTCCTTTAAGCTCAACAAGATTTCACATCAGTTGCAGGCATACGCAGAGAGGGCAAAAAGGTAACGCTGCAAGCAGAGATTTGACTTGCATCTCGTGCGTATACCAGGTTCAATAGGAATTGCAAGATACAGGTCGATACAAGTCGAGTTTTGGCAGTCGAGGAACAACACTCTGCAGAACTGCCACCGCTTCCGTGTATTTGGAGTCGCACGCCAAATTCAAGGGAGTGAGACCTGAGAGCCGAAAAACTTTGACACCTTCCAACAACGGAACTGGACGGGTTGACAGAACACCTGCACCCTTTTCAGCCGAAGGTTTTTGTGGGATGGTCGCCAAGAAATCCCAAGCAGTCAACATCCACATCACACACATTCATCAGCTCCGAAGAGCTCAGAGGCTGAGGCTCCAGGCCGCTGAGGTCTGTGGCATCAGTCGTGGCCCTGGCCTCCAGCAGCAGCTCGATGAGTTTGACTCCGACCTCACTGGCAGCATCGCTGGCCAAGTGGAGTGGTGTCCGGCCTCAGGGTGCACACGAAAGCTTGAGAAAACCTGAGAACTTGACACAAAAATGCACCAAGCTGATTTGCATGGGAACACTATGGAACACTCTAAACTTTCAAATTGTATTAAGATTGTCAAGATTGACTTGTCAGGAAACACCTCACAACTCTTCGCGCTCCAGAGGTTCAGGCCACTTCCGTCCTTGGCATCGACAGCTGCGCGATTTCGCAGCAGCTGCCGGACGCACGTTTCGTCACCCCGGCAGACGGCATTGTGGAGCTCCGTCCGGCCTAGGCGACAAACGTCGATCGCATCTGAATTGCACGACAACAAGTTGCCTGCTACATCCTGCAACACTGCTACACTACACGACAGAAGAAACATCAAATGTTGCTAAAGCTTGGCAGAAAGGAGGCAACGGCAACCTCCTCTGCTGGCAACACATCAGGCCATTTTCTTCTTTGCTGTTCGACCTCGGCTCAACTTTAAGCCCGCGGCCCAACCTGTTCTTCTTCTCGACATTTTTGCCTTCCTCAGATGTCATGTCTTGGCCTTGGCATGACCAAGGCAAAACGGCTTTTCATGGCTTTCCTTTCAGCCAAACAGCTCCTAAGAACAGTCCAAGTGCGTGAGTGAGGTAAATCATGATAAACGAATCATATCGAATTCTTCGTTCCCTCAAGAAATCAAAGGTTTTGTGCCAAGTGCCAAGCTCCTGGTCCCAAAGGATGCCCGTGCGACCTGGTCAACAGGGAGCATTCACAAAAAAAGTTCGTTCTAAGCGAAGCTCGTTTTTGATTGCACGGCCCCTTACTTGGGGCCCCTGACAATTTTGCAGTTTCTGTGTGCACAGGCATACGGTTGGCCGGAACGGAATGGGGCAAGGATGGGCAAGGCAATATAATGGTTTTCACTTGAAGTTGCACATGTCACTAAAGCTACTCTAGGAAATTGCGCGAATTTGTATGAATTTATAATATTTGGACGTGGTATGACGTGGTTCAAGGGATTCATTTGGAAACAAAATTCAAAGGAGTGCCAAATCCACAGTTTGTTCACCCAAAGGTTTCAATGTGTTTGGCACGAAACAATGTATCCAAAGATCTCTCCAAGAACTCAAACATCAGCACGTCAAGCCGCTCGAAGAAAAAAGGGCAACGTGTTTTCTTTGTGTCGCAACAAAACTGCTGTAAACATGAGGCCAGAAGGAAGCTTCTTATTGCGTAAGGGGCCTTAAGCGGCCATGTTACCTTGTTTTGCCCACCTGCCCCACTCTGTCTACAAGCCCGTATCAAGTGGCACAAGCAAACGGTTTACATCCCCAATAAATATTGAATTTGGTGGCAAGAATGACAGATGTAGTGGCCACAACTACTACAACGACACACAGAGATACCAACAGCTGCAGGAGCAGCAACGGCAGCAGCAACAATATGAAGGACGCGGCTGGCAACAGCCAGGGCATTAGCGGGCCCAAAAAACGTAGACCCCAAACATCGTCTACAAGAAGCAAACGTGCAGCAGCAGAAACAATGCCGAGCTTTCAAAATCAGACCGAAACAGGATTAAAGGTTTCTTTGCCAGTTATCATAGATATGAACAGGAAGCTCTTTGTTCGGACAGAGATTCTGGCGCCTGTTGACATACCATTTTTGGTCGCTTGTTGTTGTGTTCTTGTGGACATGTGTGCGGAAATGCGCACAGGAACCGCATCCTACCGGCACACGCAGGACCAACGTGACCAACGAAAAAAAAAAAGGGGGCCATGATCAATGACGGCAAAGAATCTCTGCGATTTCCAGTGATTCTGTGAATTGAACCCGTGAATTCGGCCTCCTTCCGTTCCTTCGAAGTCCTCCAGGCTTCCAGGTTGTCAAGCACTGCCCGAATATGTTCCTGCAGGACTAAGATACGTTGACTGCCTGAAATCAGTGAATCAACGGTGATATCGGTGATTAGATAGTTGAACCTCCAAAATGTGAATGCTGTTTCCAAGTCCACGTATACCACATGCTGGACCTGGATGTACCATCTTGGCCATGTTGTCCTGTATTCACTGACTACGTACACATCTTGAAGCGCACAAACTCGGAGGCGCAGCTGACCCTGAACACAAGCCTCCATAACTATGCAAATCTGTGTTTCGCACCTCGGCTTTTGTGTTGGCAAGCGTATGTGCTGCAAAGTCTTCCAGCAGAAGTTTGATTTTATCCTGCCGCGCAGGAAAGGGTGTACTTGGTAGCCACCCTGCCCGGACGCCCCGATGTTTGCAAACCCGTATGTTGCTCACTTTCGAACGAAGAGTCTGGCACAGAAAAAGCAAAACCCAAACAGAAATTATTGTTAGGTCAAACCGTGTTCCGTTGAAAGAAATGGCCACCGTCCAACAACGCAACCAGGTGGTGCCATGTGCTTGCATACTGGGTCCTGCTTGCTACTGGCATCTGAAAACTGGCGTTCGACAGCTTTCAGCTTCTCCTCCAAAAGATGGTGGGTCGTGGAGTCGTGGTGAGTGAAGGATTGAGTTTACAGCGAGACACCAAGATGGCAGCAGGGGGTGCCTTCCTACAAAGCACCGGCAAATACCCCATTGAGTTCCAACCAATGGAAAGTAGGAAGATTGTTGCAATGCCAACAACACAGGGAGGGCCACAAAAACAGGACCAACAAAAAGTGAATAGTTTGAACTAAGTTGAACTCACCTTTATCTCTTGTGATGGAAAACCATGAAAAAAAACATTTGCTTCTGGATCACCTGGTTCGGGTGTTCTCACGTGAGCCTGCAGAACCTGCCGCTGAAGTCTTTGCTCCCGGAGACCGTCACAAACTGTCTTCAAGAAAGCCTTTCCAGGGAATGGAAACCACGAACATATCAAGTTTCCCTGTTTTCGCGAATCACGGAAGCACATGTTCTTTTTGAACTATGTTTTCCCGAACAATTCCTCAAAAAGGCATGGCCTAGAATGTACCTTGCATAAGCTTCCACAAGACCACGCCAAAGGCCTTCACATGGTCATTTGCCTGCTGGACCGAATTGAGCAAATCCTCCTGCGTCAAGACCAGCAGCAACAACAGATTCCAAACCACTTTCTCTGTGACCACTGTGGACAATAGCGGTAGCACCGTGATTTTTTGATTGCTGCCCTTGTCTGAATCAGAGGCTATTCGGCTATTCAACACATGTAATTTGGCAGCATCAATTGCTGAGGAAATTTGGTGCACCTATCGTCAAAACGCAAGGGCGTCTCCAAAACTATTGATTTTGGAATGTCCTTGCTCTTGCTTTGATCAAAATCAAGAGCAACATGCATGCGCGGCGTCAAGCCCTCAAGCAAATTTTCTCTGGTGTCTGTGGTACAAATATGATTCCAGCACGTCTGGGCCACCCTGCAACGGCATCCGAGGCCATCGTTGTATCCACATCTTGGGCCATGGAAACTCTGGTAGAATTGCGAAATCGTAGTGACATGTAGTGACATGTTCAATCTAGGAATGGTTCCTGGCAAGGATGTCATGTTGAAGCCTCTGAGGTCCCTTCTGTCAACATTCAATCCCAACTGTGGTTCAAATCTAAATGGTTCTAATCGAAATTGTGAATTGACGGTCATGAGCAACCAAAACCCAACTTCCAAGGCAGTGAGAAGGATCAATTGGTCCATGGTTGTTAATCAAAAAATAATAATGGCCAGTAATGACTGCTCTTCTTCAACATCCGTGGCTGGAGGAATGATGCTTGTTTCACCCCCCACTGTGGCTATGAGCCTGAAACCGGGAACCGTGTGACATGGGCATGACATCGGCAACCTATAGCCTATTGCACATCATCCAAGGCACTTTGGCTTCACATGAAACCTGACCACTGCCTAAATAACCCACCAAAAAGGAATGAGAAAAAAGACCCTGAAGCTCTTGGCGGTGATCATTCAGACATCACCCGAAAGGCTGTGGGAGCTGCAAGAGTGCAATTCAACTCCACCTGAACGATTTTCACACCAACCATTCTACTGTTCACATTGGGCGAAAATGTGATTTCGATTGCTTCTTCCACGTGACGCCCCATCAACAGATTTTAGTCATGTTGGAAAATGTGTTTTGATCCCAAACCATTTTAATCTGTCCGTTTCTTGGAGACGCCAAATTCTGATCCGTGTCCGTTTCTGCCAAAGGTGTTGGGCAGCCTGACAGTCTGCAGGAAAAGCCTGAAAAGCCTGCACAGGTAGAAGGAAGAAAGCAGCTGCTGGGGTCTCGAATGCAATGAAATGTTTGCCAGCCATTTGAAAGTCTCAAATCAAATCTTTCGCAACAAATCTATCACGTGACTTTGTATGCCGGCAAAAGTCGAGCCCTCTTTTGCCTGCACAGACTTCTTTTCCAAAGCAGGGACTTTCCATGTGGCACAGGTGGTTCCAACTTTTGCTACTCGAAGCTGTAGATCCTGGCACGACACGACTGCGGCTGAAGCTTTTGGGATACTGCAAATACCGCTATTGGGCTCTATGCATCTCCATGCCATTTCTATATATATTTATACTTTTTACATCTTTATACCACCTTGCCCTCTTCCCTACAGGCCTTGGGCAATTTTCCATTGCGCTCGAAGCAAAAGCTCAACATGCCATCAACAGATCACCACTTCACAAGGCCGTTGGCCAATCACAAATGTATCCCCTCTATTTTTGTGTTGTGATTCCTTTCGCTCCACAACTTCATGGTTAAGAAGAAAGTGAATTGAAAAATGGAAGAATATCGGAAGAGGTATCAAACGTATATCTCAGAAGTGGTTGCAAGCTGTCTGCAGTGTTCTTTACTTTCTTGGGCAGTGATACAGCTGCTTGAATCGACGGAACACGAAAGGAGCATAAAGAGAGTCAAAACGACCGACAGGCAGAAATAGGTCAACCTGTTCTCTCATCATCTCCAAAGGATTCTAAAGGCACAGAGGTCACACATGTCCACTGCTGTGCAAATTGCTGCACACTGGTAAGTTACGTCATGCACACTGCCACGTAGACAAGTGAATTCAAGCTTAAGATGAATTCAGGTAAGCTTTCCTTCCCAGCATGCACATGAGGTTGCTTCAAGATATGTCCACGGCTGCAGAAATGCGAACAAAACGGGACCTGACCACTAGAAGCAATTTCTACGTCGGTGCTTCGACGCACAATTCTTGCTTCAATTGAACTCTGCACCCATATATGGATATTGCAGCGAATCCTATAATCTCAATCGCACCAGAAAGAATGCAACTGCAACCAAGCAAGTACAAAATCCTCACTCACATGCATATGGTAACAAGTTGCTTTCAAACAGCAGGAATAATGACTTGGTATCACCAGTCTACTAGGTCCTTCTTCAATGTGGTGGCCAAGCACCTAATTGGCTGAGGAATCCCGTTCAATCAGCCGCCGCAAAGCCAGAGCTGACATTTTCCCACGTTCGGAACCATGATGAAATTGAGCAGTTCTAGGATGTATGGATCCACCACTCTTGAGACCAAAACCCTCGAGCAACCCTGAGGGTCCTGGCCAATTCTTCGAAGAGTCTGAGCAAGTGCCATGGGCACAGGCCTCATCCGGTACCGTCATGGCGTCATGGCGTCACAGACCGTTCAAATGCACAAGCCGCAGGCGATACCTGATGTTCTCAGGTAAATTTCGGCAATTCCGTGAGATGAAATTCCCAACCCCACCTGCGAAAAGACGTGCAGTCTGTACCCCATGAACGAATCCTGACTGTGGATTACAATGATTACAACCCCTTCTGACACAGCTTTCACAATATTCCCGAAATTTGCTCAACCAGTGTGACCTGTACCGTCTCTTCACTGCTCTAACGATGGCAACATCCTTTGGATGGCACTCTTGAAGCTGGGCTGGCGATTCAGTTCCGAGCCGGTCCGAGCCATCCCTCAGAGATCGACCTTTCACCAGGAAAACATCAGGAAATTCATGAAATGAGTACCAACCGAACAACGATGGTCTTACAATCTTGAAGTGGGCTGGACAATTGTTGGTTTCGATCAAAAACAACTAAGGGTCTGCTTCGCCATAAGACCCTGCAGGCTAGGATCACACCACCAACGGCCAGTCTGGCAAAGAAACTAACTACGTACATCTACGTACCTATGGTACACATTGGTACGCCGACACAATGTCGTATGCTACATCGCTTCTTCTTCCTTCATTCGCTCGCAGTTCAATCAGACCTCGGACGCTCACCGCAGAATCTTGCAACATGGAAGTGCGACCAGTTGTCGTAGAAAGCCTGGAACATGTCGTTCGTTTCTTACACGGAAGAGCAAGTTGACCAAGGTTTCTTGTGGCATCACATGTTGTTGTAGAAACATGAATGTCACCTCCCCAGACCTTTTACAGGGGCGCCACAATCAAGAAGCGGTGCTTGGGATTTTTTCGACAGCCATAGCTGCTCCAGAGATTAACAGCGTTCAATCCATAAGAAGGGGCGTTTTAATGACCCAACAGGTGTGGAGCGAGCACTAGCAAAGACATAGTTCAGAAGCGACAGTCGTGGTTAAGAACCCCTGTGCCATGATCTCTGCACCCTCCAAAAATCTCCAAACACATTGCAAAATCACATTGCAAGACGCATTGAAATTTGTTGGAACACTTTGCAACACTTTGCAAAAGACAGAGAAAAGACACTCGGTTCCAACGGAATCATTGCAAGGTCGGTCTTGCATTCAAATCACGTGCTCTCGCTTGCACTGCTGTCAAGCTCTGACTGGTCAATAGGGAAGTACTCACAGAAGCTGCTGCACAGCCTGCCATCGCTACTACACCACCGACTTTAACGACTTAAAACCGAGACCAGAAGAGAGTGAAAATAAGATGCCTACACAATGTCTGGCACATTGATAGAGCTGACAGCGATATGTTTGCACGCCACAATTTGGTTATGAAATTTCTCTATCATAGGTTGAAAATGCTTCAAATCGTTTTTGGCAGTCCTTTGGAAGACAAGTTTGCTCCCACAGGAGGAAGTTGTTAGTTCTCGAGGCTTTCTAGTCTATAGTCGCAAAAGCAACTCTCCAAGTGAGATGAATCCTGTGTGGAAGGATTGTCTGGCACCATCCTGAGATTCAGATAGTAGATGATCAGATACCAGTAGTACCCGCACGAGGCGGGGCGGAAGTTGCCTTAAAGATATATATATATATATAAGACCTTTTCTCATCTATAGAACTTGCATGCGCCGTGCGCCAGCCAAGCCCGTGCGTGCGTGCATTCTGCGAAAGTGGTGTCCTGTTTCACACGTCACATTTGAAGCTCCACTTCGCGCTTCACACTTCTCACTGCGCTCTTCACACTCCACACTTCACGCTTCACACTTCGCACTTCACACTTCTCACTGCACTCTTCACACTTCACACTTCACGCTTCACACTTCACACTTCACGCTTCACACTGCACTCTTCGCACTCCACACTTCACTCTTCGCACTCCACACTTCACTTCACACTGCACTCTTAAGACTCCACACTTCACACTCCACACTTCACACCTCACAGTCCACACTTCTCACTTCTCACTGCTTTCTTCACACCCACTTCTTGGCTATTTTCATGTCATCTGAGCGCAGCTTAACCTTTCTCATCTCACCGAAGCTAGTCTCAGCTCATCTCGGCTCTTCTGCACGTCAGAAAGCTTGAGACACAGATGCATTTACACAGAAGAATCTTTACAAAATACTTTGTACTACAAAGCTTGCACAAAGCACGTCCCAGTACTACTTTGTACTACAAAGATTGCACAAACTACTTCCCAGTATTAATGTCTACTACAAAAGCTTGCAAAAACTACTTCCCAGTACTACTTTGTACTACAAA